CTATATGATCCTAATATCTAATAAAAGCGATAAGCTGAAGAGGCTAACCTTGACTATAAAAAAAAAAAAAAAAAAAAGAATAATTGTACAATTAGGTTTAAAAAATGAAAAATAAAAAAAATAAGCTAGCAGGTAATACAAAATGAAAAATAAAAAATCAACTTGTGTGAATTAATAAATACTATTATAAAATTTCAGAATAATCTTCGTAACACTTTCTGGATTTGTAAGAGTCCCATATTTGTATAGCTTAATAGCTGAATATTCTTTCAAATATCATATGAGAGAAGTATGAAAATTTTTAACTATATATTCCTTCTTGTCTATTCTTTTAATCATATAAAAAATTTGCAAAGAATATCTTCAAACTCATAATTAAGTATATTGCTCATACTATCTAGAAATTATACTTAAGGGTTAAATTACTACATTACTAATTCAGACTATTCAAAACTATAGCATCTCATACAAGCTTGCTTCTCAATTAGTTACTAATTTGCTTCTTTAAATTAATAAACAAATATATAAACAACTATAAAAACTTTATTATATTTGTTTCTTTGACTGAAAAAAGCAAAACCAACTCAACTATCTATATTCTAATATTTCAAATTCACTGCAACAATCTGAAATCTCAAGTATATTACAACAATCTCTTCTTCAAAACTATTATATACAACTGTTATAACTAAATATGCATATATAATTTATACTTACTTCTATATATGTAGAAAATATAATCAATTACATATCTATACTGATATCTGTCTATCTGTTGGCCAGGCAAGAAAAGAATTTAACATCTGATCTATTCATTAGAAAAAATATTTTTTTGTTATCTGGCAGGTATGATATATATACTGATGAAACTATATTATTGCCTAAATAAACTTGTTTTGATTAATTATGATATTGATAATTCAAATGATAGGTATATAATAATAAAGAATCGATTGTGTTTTGATCTAATTCTTTCTTTAATACTTTAATATCATATAATAAACTACTAACTAACAAAGACTATTTAGAGCTCTTTAAACTTTTGCAAGTACAAAATATAGATAAATATATAACAAAATAATTATAAGCAGCTGATAGATATAAAGTAGCTGAATAGCAGTTTAATGAAATTCTTTGTAATTGTGAACTTTGTGAATAAAATTTTCTAATTAGTTGTTTGTAAGGTCTAATTCAGTTAAGTTAAAATACTAGATAATAGTAGAGATAATGATTTGACGAAGTAGTTCTAAGTTATGACAGTAATACCAATATAAGTAAATCTAAAGAATTACAATAGAAGCAATTAGAGTTTTGAAAGATGTTAAAATAGTGTAAGTAATGGATATAGTAAGTTGGTAGTTTATTAAGTAGAGTTTTAATTTTAAAAGATTTAAGTTGCTTAAGTCTAAAGTTTGTAATATTAGAGGTAGAGTTTTTAATTATAATTAAAGTATAACTAGGTAGCTCTCTAGTTAATGCTATTATTGAGTAATAATCATTTATTATTTTGGTTTTGAGATGACCACATGGCTAGAATTTGAGCTTTATATAGTTTATTAATAAAGTATCATATAGAAAGTTTAACAAATATTAATCAATTTTCTACTAAAAAATATAGTATACATTAGCAAAATTTATATATAGATATATATCGATTCCTAGCCCCAAAGATATATATTAATTTTAATCTTGTCTGCTAATTATTATTGATTATGATATATATTGATAAACATTCAGTTAATTATGAAATGATACAAATTAATTAAGAATATGAACAATATATAGCTTGTTATATAACAATTAATAATTAATAACAATTGTTATAAAATGCGTCTATGGTGTTTAACACCATAGGTATTGTTTTGATTTACAGATCTGTGTAACAAAAAACAAAAAAAACAAATTTAATAAAATAAAAAATAAATTTTAATTACTTTAAGGTTAGGGCAAGGCTTAGAATTTTGGTAAAAGGATTTTTATATGCAAAATTTAGCAAGGAATTTTTTTTGTTAGAGCCTCAAAGATGGTTTTATAAGTGTAATTTTGAGATATTAGTATTTTTTAAAAAAATAAACAAAAAACCAAAATTTTATGTTACACCTGATCTTAAATTTTAATTGGCTATTCTAATAGTTTGTATAACATGGTGTTTAACACAATAGGTATATTTTAGTAAAGTCGATTAATAATATATATATTTAATATACTATATAATACAATTATATAATCACATAATTTATTTGCAAGTCAAATTTTATGTATTATATAAATTTCAATCAAAATATCAAATTTATTAATGCAATTTTATTAATAAACATTTTATTACAATTATTACTTACAATAAAATATAAATAGCATAAATTACAAGATTACATTTATTAAATACAAGCAACACATAATGCAAAAAATAATTTTTAAAAAAAAGAAAAAATCTAAAATAAAAAAATAAAAAAAATGAAAAACAAGAAAAATCAAAAAAAAAGAAAAAAAGAAAAAGTAAATCTACTAATTATGTATAGGTACCAAACAACTTATCAAGCTCATCTTGTGAAAGAAATATTGAATTTAATTATAATAGATGATTAGGTTCAGAATCATAGTTAGGAGTGTTTGGCTGTAACTTTTTATTATCTTTATCTAGCTCATCATTTATTAATATTAAGATAGATTTGTAAAAGAGATCTTTTTCATTGAAATCGTTCTATAATTTAAAACCTAATACAAAACCATTAATTTAAATTGATATAAACTAATATATAATTAAATATATACTTACTAAATACTTATTTATTTTTCTTTTTATGCTATTTACCATGTATATAACCTTTTTTAATTGGGGTTAAGCATAATATCACATATAACTAGAGATGTTAATTAGTCTTTTAAAATCAGATTCTATCTAATCCTTTCAGAGATTGATTAGGATCCAATTCTTAAATCATATAATATAATGTAATTTTTTAACAAGGTTCTGATTCTAGATCAAAATCCCTTAAATAAGTCTTAAGATCTGCTTTTTATAACAATAAATAGTATTACCCCTTTTTTTTTATAAATAAAAAAATGAAATAATGAAACCTTTTTAAATGAATTGCTTATAATCTTCATAAAAAGACAATATACTTTTCCTAAATAATACTCTAATCATAGACTTATTCTTAATATTATAATAAAAGATCTTTAATCTGTATTGTTATTATAAAGGATCTTTAATCTTTATCGTTATAATAAAGGATGTTTAATCCTTATCATTATAATAAAGAATTTTTAATCCTTATCACTATAATAAAGGACTTTTAATTCTTATTATTATAATAAAATATCTTTAATCCTTATTATTATAATAAAGAATTTTTAATTATGAACTTTTTTTTGTCATTACAATAAAAGCAACACATCTTCAAATCTAATAAATAAAGCTTGCCTTAAAATTTTTTTCTTGCACAAAAGTTTAATAGTGAACATTTTTTGAAATTCAAATCTTCACAATAAAAATAGTAGCTTTTAAAAGGTTGAACTTACCCACTTTGAATATTTAATAAAGGCAATTTATCTTCAATGTTAATTTTTTTCTCAAATAGTAACAAAGATAATAAGCCTTTTTTAATTTAATCTTTACAAAATGATGACATGAAAGTTAATATTTATTTAGTTAGAATCCTAAAGATAATATTCCTTTATCTGGTTCTAATCTTTATAATAAATGTAGAACAATAGTATAATCAGTATTACCCAGCAATTATTTTGACTCAAGAGTCTTGAATTCTTATAATAAAAATAACAGTATAACTAAACAGATTAGTATCTTTAATAATAAAAGGCTATATACTCTTTCATTAATTTAAATCATTGTAACAAAGACAATATACTTTAAAAAATTAACACTTGTTCACTTAAAATCTTTAATAATAAAGAATAACAAAGACAATAGGTCTGTAGAAGTTAAAACTTTTTTTGATTTAATCTTTAGATAAATTATTTATTTAAATATTTAAAGATGATATTTTAAGGGTAGGGGATCAACATTTTTGTATTCATATAAAATAGATTGTAGATCAACACTGTGTAACTAATATCATATAATATTATATAAACATCATATGATTCAGCTAATCAAAATTAGCAATTTTTTGTACTACCTAGGAAAAACATATAGCGATCTAGGCAAACTTTGATTATATGTGAAGTTAAAATTTTTTAAAGCAATGCATATTGCACAACCTCACTATCATAAACAATCTGTTTTAAACTACATATCATATAAATTTGATACATATTAATTAAGGTATTAAAAAGTTTTATCAGAAGCATTTTTTTATTTACATGTAAAAATCCAAAATACTATATAGATCATATGAAAAATGATCTATATTTATCCTACCCTTAAAAAAATAAAAGAAATCGAATTTGTATCTAGTATAGAAACTATATTTGAAACTAAGTTTTCATTGAATAATATGAAAGATTAAAGGCAAAGATATCTGTTACAAAGCAGCTAAGCACCTATTAGAGACTACTTAACAACCTTTGATAGAAGCAATCAATGCAATGTATATAAATGAATCTTCAGCAAGTTAACAGCAATTACAACTATAAACTACCACTTTGAAAGATTTCACCCTATATATTATTTTCTAATAAAGCAATATAAACTTAAACAACTCAATTTATATGGTTCAAATAATCAATTGAGAGTAGATGCTTTAAACAAAAAATTGTTAAAATGGATAATTATCAATCAACAATCCTTTTTTTTAGTCGAAAATACAAATTTTATCAACTTTATCCAAGAACTTGCTCTATATTATAGGCTTTTATATCATCCAAATGCTTTCAACTTAGATTAATAAAGAATATGAATTATATAAAGATATAATTAAAATAGGTTTAAACAAGGCTCCCTTAAAGCTTTTAATCACAATAAATGGATGGACCTTATGTATCAAATAACCATTTATTGGTATAATAATACATTGAGTAAATTCTTTATAGAATTACATCGAATCTTACTCAATAATATACTATTTGATAAAAGTCATACTGCTAACCTAATTATTAAAATTTTAAAAGAAATAGATATTGGCAGGAAACTTTTGGGTATTACTACAGATAATATAGCTAATATGTGTTTTATAGAAAATATTTTGCAAGAAAAAGTCCTTTCCAAGTTTAATAATAATAGTATACAACATTTTTACTATAGTATACATATTTTAAACCTTGACATTGAAGAAGGAATTAAAAAAGTTAACAAAAAAAATTTAGAAAGTATAGGAATTCTTTCTAAAACTTCAAAATTCATCTTTATTACTTAAAGTATTAAAAAAAATTGTGAAATAAAAAATACTTCTTTTTTTAATACTCGAAGCTGATATAGAAACCTGTTGAAATAGCTTATATATCTTGCTAGAGAAACTTCAAACTTCACTTTGAAAAAATATTCTTGTTGTGAGTAACAAAACATTAAGCCAAAATTATTTTACAGAACAAGAGTGAAAAATTGTTTTAGTTAGTAATTTTTAAAGGGTAGTCCTATTTCTACCATTATAAATTGCTATTTCTACCATGATTATACAAAAGTTTCTATTTTTAGTTTTAATATTATATTGATTTTTAACCAATAATATAAAAATTTATATTAAAAAA